TTCAGTACTTTGTCCTAAATTTCGTGGAAATCCAAAGATATAGAGGGACTTTGGTGCACCATTTACCTTAAATCGGACGAAACTATATATGGGAGCTATATCTAAATCTGATCCGATTTTCTCCAAACTTGGCACACATCATTCTGGACCTAATTCAGTAGTCTGTGCCAAATTTCGTGCAAATCGAAAGATATATAGGGACTTTGGTGCCCCATTTACATTAAATCGGACGAAACTATATATGGGAGCTATATCTAAATCTAAAACGATTTCCTCGAAACTTGGCACACATCATTCTGGACCTAATTCAGTAGTCTGTGCCAAATTTCGTGCAAATCGAAAGATATATAGGGACTTTGGTGCCCCATTTACATTAAATCGGACGAAACTATATATGGGAGCTATATCTAAATCTAAAACGATTTCCTCGAAACTTGGCACACATCATTCTGGACCTAATTCAGTACTCTGTGCCAAATTTCGTGCAAATCGAAAGATATTGAGGGACTTTGGTGCCCCATTTACCTTAAATCGGACGAAGCTATATATGGGAGCTATATCTAAATCTGAACCGATTTTCTTGAAACTAGGCACACATCATTTTGGACCTAATTCAGTAGTCTGTGCCAAATTTCGTGCAAATCGAAAGATATATAGGGACTTTGGTGCCCCATTTACCTTAAATCGGACGATACTATATATGGGAGATACATCTAAATCTGAACCGATTTTCTTGAAACTTGGCACACATCATTCGGGATCTAATTCAGTACTCTGTGCCAAATTTTGTGCAAATCGAAAGATATAGAAGGACTTTGGTGCCCCATTTACCTTAAACCGGACGAAAATATATATGGGAGCTACATATAAATCTGAAACGATTTTCTCGAATCTTGGCACACATCATTCTGGACCTAATTCAGTACTCTGTGCCAAATTTCGTGCAAATCGAAAAATATTGAGGGACTTTGGACGAAACTATATATGGGAGCTATATCTAAATCTGAAACGATTTTCTCGAAACTTGGCACACATCATTCTGGACCTAATTCAGTAGTCTGTGCCAAATTTCGTGCAAATCGAAAGATATAGAGGGACTTCGGTGCACCATTTACCTTAAATCGGACGAAACTATATATGGGAGCTATATCTAAATCTGATCCGATTTTCTCCAAACTTGGCTCACATCATTCTGGACCTAATTCAGTAGTCTGTGCCAAATTTCGTGCAAATCGAAAGATATATAGGGACTTTGGTGCCCCATTTACATTAAATCGGACGAAACTATATATGGGAGCTATATCTAAATCTAAAACGATTTCCTCGAAACATGGCACACATCATTCTGGACCTAATTCAGTACTCTGTGCCAAATTTCGTGCAAATCGAAAGATATTGAGGGACTTTGATGCCCCATTTACCTTAAATCGGACGAAGCTATATATGGGAGCTATATCTAAATCTGAACCGATTTTCTTGAAACTAGGCACACATCATTCTGGACCTAATTCAGTACTTTGTCCTAAATTTCGTGGAAATCCAAGGATATATAGGGACTTTGGTGCCCCATTTACCTTAAATCGGACGATACTATATATGGGAGATACATCTAAATCTGAACCGATTTTCTTGAAACTTGGCACACATCATTCTGGACCTAATTCAGTACTTTGTCCTAAATTTCGTGGAAATCCAAAGATATAGAGGGACTTTGGTGCACCATTTACCTTAAATCGGACGAAACTATATATGGGAGCTATATCTAAATCTGATCCGATTTTCTCCAAACTTGGCACACATCATTCTGGACCTAATTCAGTAGTCTGTGCCAAATTTCGTGCAAATCGAAAGATATATAGGGACTTTGGTGCCCCATTTACATTAAATCGGACGAAACTATATATGGGAGCTATATCTAAATCTAAAACGATTTCCTCGAAACTTGGCACACATCATTCTGGACCTAATTCAGTAGTCTGTGCCAAATTTCGTGCAAATCGAAAGATATATAGGGACTTTGGTGCCCCATTTACCTTAAATCGGACGAAGCTATATATGGGAGCTATATCTAAATCTGAACCGATTTTCTTGAAACTAGGCACACATCATTTTGGACCTAATTCAGTAGTCTGTGCCAAATTTCGTGCAAATCGAAAGATATATAGGGACTTTGGTGCCCCATTTACCTTAAATCGGACGATACTATATATGGGAGATACATCTAAATCTGAACCGATTTTCTTGAAACTTGGCACACATCATTCGGGATCTAATTCAGTACTCTGTGCCAAATTTTGTGCAAATCGAAAGATATAGAAGGACTTTGGTGCCCCATTTACCTTAAACCGGACGAAAATATATATGGGAGCTACATATAAATCTGAAACGATTTTCTCGAATCTTGGCACACATCATTCTGGACCTAATTCAGTACTCTGTGCCAAATTTCGTGCAAATCGAAAAATATTGAGGGACTTTGGACGAAACTATATATGGGAGCTATATCTAAATCTGAAACGATTTTCTCGAAACTTGGCACACATCATTCTGGACCTAATTCAGTAGTCTGTGCCAAATTTCGTGCAAATCGAAAGATATAGAGGGACTTCGGTGCACCATTTACCTTAAATCGGACGAAACTATATATGGGAGCTATATCTAAATCTGATCCGATTTTCTCCAAACTTGGCACACATCATTCTGGACCTAATTCAGTAGTCTGTGCCAAATTTCGTGCAAATCAAAAGATACAGAGGGACTTTGGTGCCCCATTTACATTAAATCGGACGAAACTATATATGGGAGCTATATCTAAATCTAAAACGATTTCCTCGAAACTTGGCACACATCATTCTGGACCTAATTCAGTACTCTGTGCCAAATTTCGTGCAAATCGAAAGATATTGAGGGACTTTGGTGCCCCATTTACCTTAAATCGGACGAAGCTATATGGGAGCTATATCTAAATCTGAACCGATTTTCTTGAAACTAGGCACACATCATTCTGGACCTAATTCAGTACTTTGTCCTAAATTTCGTGGAAATCCAAAGATATTGAGGGACTTTGGACGAAGCTATTTATGGGAGCTATTTCTAAATCTGATACGATTTTCTCCAAACTTGGCACACATCATTCTGGACCTAATTTAGTAGTCTGTGCCAAATTTCGTGCAAATCAAAAGATACAGAGGGACTTTTGATGCCCCATTTACATTAAATCGGACGAAACTATATATGGGAGCTATATATAAATCTAAAACGATTTTCTCGAAACTTGGCACACATCGTTCTGGACCTAATTCAGTACTCTGTGCCAAATTTCGTGCAAATCGAAAGATATAAAGCGACTTTGGTGGCCCATTTACATTAAATCGGAAGAATATATATATGGGAGCTATATCTAAATCTGAAACGATTTTCTCGAAACTTGGCACACATCATTCTGGACCTAATTCAGTACTCTGTGCCAAATTTCGTGCAAATCGAAAGATATAGAGGGACTTTGGACGAAACTATATATGGGAGCTACATCTAAATCTGAACCGATTTTCTCGAAACTTGGCACACATCACTCTGGACCTAATTCAGTACTCTGTGCCAAATTTCGTGCAAATCGAAAGGTATAGAAGGACTTTGGTGCCCCATTTGCCTTAAATCGGACGAAAATATCTATGGGAGCTATATATAAATATGAACCTATTTTTTCCAATTTCAATAGGGTTCGTCCTTGGGCCAAATAAGTGACTTGTGCCAAATTTCATCCAAATCGAATCATAAATGCGACCTGTACTTTGTTTACAATTTAACATCTACAGACGGACGGAGGGACCTAGCCCCTGTGTGGAGGTTCCAGAAGGAGTAGACCGATATTCCCCTTCTTTGAATTTGAACTAAGTTTGGAAGAAATAATAAGATGGGCAAAGTTTGGATGACATCTAAAATTTTCTGAAACGGATTTGGTCCAAAGAAACATGGGGTCTAGAACCAATATTTCGATGAGTCACATTTTCACCGTGTTAAATTGTATACACCCTCACTACCCATAAGACTGAGAGTATAATTATCCATTAAACATTTCTGAAATTTGTAGTATGGTTTACATAATCCCTTTTTAGAAATGTCGGTATAGGCCCACTTTTTGGTATGTTCCCTATATTTTCATTTCAAGTACCTGTCTATGGTGGAGGGTATCCAAAGTTCGGCCCGCTCGAACTTAACGCTTTTTCACTTGTTTTATTTTAAAATTTATTTAACATTTTGTACGAATCATCATTTGAGCATATTTCAAGGATCTATTCCACATACGAAAATCATGCCAACTTATTCCCCAATTATTTGATTCGCTCTCTTGGCGATATGGACCATTTAAGTAGCTACAAAAAAAAAATAGAAATGAAAATTTTAAAAATTTACGGAATCGATTTTTTTTTTAATTTACTTACCCATGATAACCTAAACCGAAGAACCACCAGCCACCCTGAAAAATGACGGCATTATTTCTATCCGGACTATTATCATTATCCCTATCATAGGTGCTAAACGCGTTTCCTTTGTGTATTTCGAAACTATTGCCAGCATCACCGCTATAACCACCCACATCGAGCAGGGCATATTTCTCCTCCTCACTGCCAATACGAAAACGTTCATATTTGGCATAACGTGTTACGCCATTAAAATCTTTTAATATAATTAACAATTCTTGTGGTCCACCGAAATTGGTCAGTTCATAGATACGCTGAAGACCCATAAAGTAGTTGCCATCAGGATTACCAAAACCATTGTCATACTCATTCCACGAACGATTAAAATGTACCGAGTCATCCTGACGTCTCTGTATGGTTGTCCATTTTTGTGAGTTTTGACAGGATTTTTTCAAATCACCTTCCAGAGTATCTAATCTGGAAAATTTGAAAAACATAATAAAATGGAGAATATTCTTTATTAGCAACCAACCTCTTATTCAACACCTCCAAATTTTTGTCCAACCTCTGAGTTTCATTCAAAATATTATTCACTTTTATGAAGAGAGATTCCCATATAATTGCTTTGTCCTCCGGATTATTTATATCCTGATGTAGAAGAAAAACAATATGCAATAAATATGTATGTATATGAAGGGCTTACATATTTACACTTCACACACCAAATACGATTTTGTCGAATTAGTGTTATTGTATTCCGCATTTGTAAAATGCAAAATTAAAATCAGAAACAACAATTTCATTCTACTAATCCGCTCATGAATTAAAATTAAACTGAACGGGACTGAATATTTCCAATCATAATTGTCCTTATCAGTAATGGCATGTCCAAAGTTCAGGCGCACTTATCGTGACTATAGGAGGGGTATTTTCTTAATTCTTGTAAAGTAAAACTATTTTTTCATGCTTCTATATAAGAACTGGATGGATGGCATGGATTTTTTAAACATATTTTTTCAGGCTACTATACAAGGCGTGGATTTTTAAAAAATATTTTTTCCGGATATTATAAAAAAATCTGCGATAGAAAATAAGTTTTATTTAATATTTCCAACACTTCGAGTTTACATTTTATCTCGTATCATCATTGCTGCATATTTCATGGATACATCCCATTTTCTCCATGGATCCCAGCTAACACCCCAAATCCGTGAATTTTCCTTTGTCCTATATTGACCATGTAAATATCTAGATGTTCAAAAAATATTAATCTGATTGCATACTACACTTTGACATTTAAATACTAACCCACTATAGCAGGGGTCATGGAACCACCAACCACCTTTAAAATATTGTGGGCAATCCCTGATATTACCCGCATTATTATCCTGATCGAAGGTAGTAAACTTTCTACCTCTATGCCAGCCCATACCGTCGCCAGCATCACCACTATATGTACCCAATTCGGTAATGGCATATTTTTCAGATTCCGAACCAATACGAAATTTGTCATAGCGGGCAAATCGAGTTTCATTTTCATAGTCCACCAATACGACCAAGAGTTCCTTGGGTTTGCCGTTGCTGGTTAGACGATGCAGCATTTCAAGGCCAATAAAGAAATCGGCATCCGGATTACCGAAACCAAGTTTGTAATCCATCCAATTACGATTGAAATCTACCGAACCATCCTGACGTCGTAGTATCTTTGTCCATTGGCTGGGGAAAAAATTACAGAGAAGTCAAAACAATTTTTTAAGACATGTGAAGATCAGGGTAATAGTTTCAATTTATTTCTCACCTTTCTCGAACTTCTTTGCCATTCTTGTTGTCCACAGCCTTGGTTGGAAGATTTTCCTGCTCTGTTTGCCTAGAAGAAAGATTTTTTAAATAATTTGAAGGCTTTGAATATTTTGATAATAATTTTTAAAAGGTTTATCATCAAGATCCAGTCGTGGTTATATCCCAGAAAAATTATTTACATTTTATCCCGTATCATCATGGCAGCATATTTCAACGAAACATCCCATTTTCTCCACGGATCCCAGCTAACACCCCAAGTCCGTGAATTTTCCTTTGTCCTATAAGGTCCATGTAAATGACTAAAAGAAAAAATCTTAATCGGATTTCTTAATTTTTGCTGGCCTCCAAATACTTACCCACTATAACATGGATCATGGAACCACCAACCACCCTTAAAAGTTTGCGGACAATCCCTTATATTACCCGCATTATTATCCTGATCGAAGGTAGTAAACTTTTTGCCTCTATGCACGCCCATACCGTCGCCAGCATCACCACTGTAGGTGCCCAGTTCGGTAATGGCATATTTTTCAGCTTCCGAACCAATACGAAACCTGTCATATCGGGCGAAACGTGTTACATTTTCATAGTCCACCAAAACGACCAGTAGCTCTTGGGGTCTACCGTTACTGGTTACCAAAACCATTTTTATAATGATTCCAATTACGATTGAAATCTACCGAACCATCCTGACGACGCAGAATCGTTGTCCATTGGCTGGAGAAGAAAAAAATGAGAAAAAATTAGAGTATAGACTCAAATCAGGGTAACAGGTGTGAATTTACCTTTTGGGAGTTCCATTTGTATTCCCAATATCCCTCTTCTGTTCATTTTGCCTAGAAGACCAAAAACGAGGACATTTTTTTAAAATATTTTTCCTCACCCTTTTCATATTTTTTACCCTCACCTCTTAGACAATTCATCGAATCTGGAAATTCCATTAAACAAAAATCATCCATTATTAATAATTCAATGCCATTATATTCGAATGTCGTCATACCTTTTGTTGATGTTTTCAAATTTCTGTTCAAATTTCTGTGTTGCCTCCACGACCCTATTTAATTTTATGAACAGATTCTCCCATATGAAAGCTTTATCTTCCGAATTGTTTAGGTCCTATTAAAACAAATTTTTTTAGAAAAAAAATATTAATAAGAAATTTTAATACTCTCTCTCTCACCAAATATTGCTTTGTTGAATTCACATTTTTGTCTCCGGCATAAACCGCTTGGAAAATTAACAACAGCAACCAAATTAATCTCATAGTAGCTTACTGATCGATTGCGGTTTTAGAACTGAATCGATTAATCTTGTCGATGCAAACTTGTTCGGAAGCATTTCTTTCTTATCAATTTCTGAGGAATTGAAAAAACCCCCTTAGGATATACTTAGATTTGTTGTGGTTTTTAATGCTAAGACGTGAGATATTACAGGTTGATAATAATAATGAACCTATAATAAGGGTGGATTAATAAAATATTTTTAAAAATCAACGCCTTGTATTACTCACTTAGCTGGCTTACAGAACGGTTGTTCTATAAGCCGAGCTTAAAAAAGGTTTCCAAGCGCGTCGATCTTGTGCGCATATCCGCCAATTTGAAAGACCACGTTCCAAGATGTTGTTTTCTACTTTGTCTTTCCATCTGATTCGTGGCCTTGCCCCTCTACGGGAACGATCAATAGGCTCGCTTTTATATACCTTTTGAGCTGGGGCATTCTCATTCATTCGCACAAATTGGCCTAGCCATCGTAGTCGCTGCAGCTCAATACGACTGACTATGTCGATGCCCGCGTATAAATTGTAAAGCCCGTGATTCATTTCACGCATATATTCACCGTCGACGCAGATCGGCCCCTAGATCTCATCTGCTCATCTGCTTGCGCAAGTACCCATGCTTCAGATCCATATAACAGCACGGGTAGTATCAACGTCTTGTAAAGTGTGAGTTTGATCTGGCGGGAGGTGGCCTTGTTTCTAAACTTCTTACTTAGACCATAGTAGCACCGGTTGGACATCACTATCCTTCTCCGAATTTCAAAACTGATGTCATTCGTATCATTTATGGCGGTACAAAGGTATATAAAATCTTTAACTACCTCGAAGCTGTAGTTCACAGTTGTTCCGAGTCTACTGGACGTCTGGCGCGTTGATACCATCAGATTGGTCTTTCCGCCGTTTACTGCCTGACCTACTTTTGCAGACTCGTTCTCAATTTATTCAAAGGTGGTTGTTACCGCTCTCAATGTTCGACCCATTATATCGATGTCATCGGCATAGGCGAGTAACATGTGTTGTTTGGTGTACAAGGTGCCATTTCTGTTCACCTTTACGTCTCGTATGACCTTTTCCAGCAGGATGTTAAAAAGGTCACACGATAAACTATCACCTTGTTTGAATCCTCGTTCAGTGTTGAAGGGCTCCGAGAGGTCCTTTCCGACTTTAACTGCTGACCTTGTGCCTGTTAAAGTTATCCTTCATAGCCGTATTAATTTTGCATGAATGCCGAACGTAGACATGGCTTTACACACCTCTGAACGGATAATGTTGTCGAATGCGACTTTATAGTCGACAAATAGGTGGTATGTGTCGATGTGTTTTTCGTGGATTTCTTTTCCAAGATTTGGCGCAGAGTGAAAATCTGGTCAATTGTCTGATGCCGCCTTGGTATGGTCCAGTAATGTCATTCACCATTGGCTTCAGTCGTTCACACAGTACGCTGGATAGCACTTCATATGCGATGGGAAGGAGACTTATTCATCTATAATTGGCACATATCGTCTTGTCTCCTTTTCTATGCACGGGACACAGGATGCTGCGGTTCCAATCATTGGGCATTCATTCTTCTAGTCATCGATACCTGCTGCTTTATTATTCTTCAGCCGATTGATTGCTATTCTGACCTCATCTTGGCTAGGTGCTATACACTCTATACCGTCATCTATTATTGGTTCTGGGGTATCCTCTTCACCGCTACTATTTGATACCAGAAGTTTTTCAAAATACTCCTTCCAGATCCTCAACAACCTGTCTGTATCTGTCACCAGGTTTGGTGTTTTACCCGTTGGTAGGATTTTCAGACTTCATTCTGACTCCTGTACATCTCGATTTGCTCACGCTCACGTTTTTCTTGTTATTTCTTCTTGTTTCTGAAAATACGTTTCTCCTCTCTCCTTTTCTCCCGATGATTTTCCATCGCATTACGCGTTGCTACTGTCTGCAGGGTTGCCCTATACGCTGCGTTTTTCTCATCAGCAACATTACGAGACTCCTGATCGTACCATGGGTTTCTTGGTAGGGTTTATAGGGAGTGGACAATTCTCTGCCACTGTGCTTCTATATTATTATCGGGACAAGAAGTGTTTTCGCCAAGCTGGTGGGTATGTTGAGCGGAGTAGGCCTCGGCTACCTGTTGTGTTTGCAGCTTTTCGACGTCGAGTTTCCGTGTTGTGTTAGATCGCACCTTTGCTGCAACATTATGACGAGTGCAAACCTTGACTGCCGCAAGGTAATGGTCCGAATCGATATTCGCTCCCCGGATCGATCGGACGTCTAAAACACTGGATGAATGCCTTCCGTCTATGACAACATGATCAATTTGATTTCTCGTTGTTCGATCGGGAGAAATCCAAGTGGCCTTGTGTATATCGAAATGCTTGAATCTAGTGCTAACTACTATGTTTTTGCTGCCGCGAAGTTAATCAAACTCATGCCGTTGTCGGATATTTCTTCATGAAGGCTGAATTTTCCGACGGTGGAGCCAAAGATATTTTCCCTTCCGATTTTTACATCAAAATCTCCTAGCAGAATTTTAATGTCATGGTCAGGTCAGGGCAGGAATCATATGCTGTTTCTAGGTGCTCGTAAAATATGTCTTTGGTCTGCTCATCTTTGCCTTCGCTCGGAGCATGGGCGCAAATAAGACTGATGTAGAAGAACTTCGCTTTTATACGGATTATAACAATTCGCTCATCTACTGGAGTGAATCTGGAGACGGGGTCTTTTATTATCCTGTTAACCATAAATCCGCAGCCAAATTCACGTCTCGTTTCATGACAGCTATAATACAGGGCGTAATCATCTGATTTACTTACGCCCGTCCCTTTCCATCGCATTTCATGTAAGGTAATAATATCGGCTTTGTACTTCTTAAGTACATCCGCCAAAGTGAAAACTGCGCCTGTTCTGTACAAGTTGCGCACATTCCAAATGCAAATTCGCAGATCGTGGTCTTCTAAACGTTTGTCAACATTAGAGCGGGTTGGCTTTCTTTTTCTTTGCTTTTTCATAGTCCGAGTGTGGGCAATTAACCCGACGCCTTAACCCATTTTTTATAGTTCTTATGGGTGAACTCGCGGCAAATATTAGCTCACTATTTTAACGGGTGATGAAAATAGCTACCCCAGGTGACACCGCGGGGAGGTCAGTGTCCACAATTGAGATGCAAGAGGGACCAAGATAAGCCTGGACTTCGCCATGTTAAAGCCAATTAGAGCCGTTGTATGGTATCTATCCTCCCCTACGCCACCCACATGACTTGTATCTTTTAGGATATGATACGCCTTGTATAAAACTCTTGTAATTTTTGTTTTGTCTTTAGGTCAATTGAAAAATTTGTTGGTTATGGTTTTTTTATTTTGTTTATTTTTATTTTCCAATATTTCGACTGTCTTCGATAGTCATCTTCAGGGAAATACTACAAACTTACAAATATTTTAAAGAGATATAAACATAATTGTATTGCACAAATCGTACTTTTATGAGAAAAGCAACCGACTTTTATCACCGTCTATGCTAAACTAAGTTTTTCTTTTTTCTCGTCTGTGTATAAAACCCTAAAAAATATGTTTAAAAAATCCACACCTAATATTAAAAAAAATCCCCCCTCCCATAGCCACAAGAAGTGTGCCTGAACTTTTGGCATTCCATTACTGATAAGGGCAATTATAATTAGAAATATTCATCCCTGTTCAGTTTAATTTGAATTCGTGAGCGGATCAGTATAATGAAATTGTTGTGTCTGATTTTAATTTTTCATTTTACAAATGCGGAATACAATAACACTAATTCGACAAAATCTTATTTGGTATGTGAAGTGTAAATATGTATGCCCTTTATATACATACATATTAATTGCATATTGTTTTTGTCCTACATCAGGATATAAATAATCCGGAGGACAAAGCAATTATATGGAAATCTCTCTTCATAAAAGTGAATAATATTTTGAATGAAACCCAGAGGTTGGACAAAAATTTGGAGGTGTTGAATAAAAGGTTGGTGGCTAAAGAAGGATATCCTCCTGGCCATTAATTTAATTTTTTTCAAAATTTTCCAGATTAGATACTCTGGAAGGTGATTTGAAAAAATCCTGTCAAAACTCACAAAAATGGACAACCATACAGAGACGTCAGGATGACTCGGTACATTTTAATCGTTCGTGGAATGAGTATGACAATGGTTTTGGTAATCCGGATGGCAACTACTTTATGGGTCTTCAGCGTATCTATGAACTGACCAATTTCGGTGGACCACAAGAATTGTTAATTGTATTAAAAGATTTTGAAGGCGTGACACGTTATGCCAAATATGAACGTTTTCGTATTGGCAGTGAGGAGGAGAAATATGCTCTGCTGGATGTGGGTGGTTATAGCGGTGATGCTGGCAATAGTTTCGAAATACACAAAGGACACCCGTTTACCACCTATGATAGGGATAATGACAATAATCCGGATAGAAATAATGCCGTAATTTTTGAGGGTGGCTGGTGGTTCTTTGGTTTAGGTTATCATGGGTGAGTAAATTAAAAAAAAAAAAACGATTCCGTAAATTTTTAAAATTTTGATTTCTATTTTTTTTTTTTGTAGCTATTTAAATGGACCATATCGCCAAGAGAGCGAATCAAATAATTGGGGAATAAGTTGGCATGAATTTCGTATGTGGAATAGATCCTTGAAATATGCTCAAATGATGATTCGTACAAAATGTTAAATAATTTTAAAAATAAAAAAAAACACAAAATTTTTATTTTGGTATTATAAAAAATATTGTTTTTAATCTGTGTAATAAAAAATCCACGCCTTGTATAGTAGCCTTAAAAAATATTTTTAAAAAATCCAATACAACTATGTCGATGTCCGCGTATAAATTGTAGAGCTCGTGGTTCATTCGACGCCTATATTCATTGTCGACGCCGATCGGCCCGTAGATCTTTCGGAGAATTTCTCTTTCAAACACCCAAAGAGCTGCCTCATCTGCTTGCGCAAGTACCCATGCTTCAGATCCATATAACAGCAGGGGTAGTATCAGTGTCTTGTTAAGTGTGAGTTTGGTCTGGCGGGTGGTGGCCTTGTTTCTAAACTGCTTACTTAGACCATAGTAGCATCTGTTGGCCATCACAATCCTTCTCCGAATTTCAAAACTGATGTCATTCGTTTTATTTATGGTAGCACCAAGGAATACAAAATCGTTAACTACCTCGAAGCTGTAGTTCTCAAGTTCCACAGTTGGTCCGAGTCTACTGGACGTCTAGAGCGTTTATACCATCAGATTGGTATCCTCGCGGTTTACTGCCAAACCCACTTTGGCAGACTTCTTTTCAATTTGTTCAAAGGTAGCTGCTACCGCTCGCAATGTTCGACCCATTATATCGATGTCATCGGCGTAGGCGAGTAACATGTGTTGTTTGGTGTACAGGGTGCCATTTCTGTTCACCTTTGCGTCTCATATGACCTTTTCCAGCAGGATGTTAAAAAAGGTCACACAACAAACTGTCACCTTGTCTGAATCCTCGTTCGGTATTAAAGGGCTTCGATAGGTCCTTTCCGACTTTAACTGCTGATCTTGTGCCAGCTAAAGTTATCCTGCATAGCCGAATTAATTTTGCAGGAATGCCAAAGGCAGACATGGCTTTAAACACGTCTGAAAGGATAGGGCTGTCGAATGCGGCTTTATAGTCGACGAAAATGTGGAATGTGTCGATGTGTTTTTCGTGGGTTTTTTTCCAGGTTTTGGCGTAGAGTAAAAATCTGGTCAATGGTGGATTTGCCAGGTCTGAAGCCGCATTGGTATGGTCCAATAGTCTCATTGACCATTGGCTTCAGTCGTTCACACAGTACGCTGGATAGCACTTTATATGCGGTGGGAAGGAGACATATTCCTCTATAATTGGAACATATCGTCTTGTCTCCTTTTTTATGCCCGGGACACAGGATGCTAAGGTTCAAATCATTGGGCATTCATTCTTCTAGTCAAATTGTACTAATCAGCTGGCGCATGCTCCTTACCAGCATCTGACGACCAGTCTTGAATAGTTCGGCTGGTAACCCGTCGGCTCCTGCTGCTTAATTGTTCTTGAGCTGATTAATTGATTTTATGAGCTCATCTTGGCTAGGTGGTATACTTTCTATACCATCATATCTTATTGGTTCTGGGGTATCTTCTTCACCGCCACTATTTGATAGCAGAAGCTTTTCAAAATGCTCCTTCCAGATCCTCAACACGCTGTCTGTATATGTCACCAGGTTTTCTCCTTCATCTCTACCGTAGTGTTTTACTCGTTTGTAAAATTTCCGGACTTCATTCTGACTCCTGTACATCTCGATTTGCTCACGCTCACGTTTTTCTTGTTCTTTCATCTTTTTTTCTGAAAATGCGTTTCTCCTCTCTCCTTTTCTCCCGATAATTTTCCATCGCATTACGTGTTGCTACTGTCTGCAGGGTTGCCCTATACGCAGCATTACGACACTCCTGATCGTACCATGGGTTTCTTGGTAGGGTTTGTAGGGAGTGGGCAATTCTTTGGCAATGTGCTTCTATACTATTATCGGGACCAGAAGTGTTTTCGCCAAACTGGTTGGTATGTCGAGCGGAGTAGGCCTGGGCTACCTGTTTTGTTTGCTGCTTTTCGACGTCGAGTTTCCGTGTTGTGTTAGATCGCACCTTTGCTGCAACATTAAGACGAGTGCAAACCTTGGCTGCTACAAGGTAATGGTCCGAATCGATATTCGCTCCTCATATCGATCGAACGTTTAAAACACTGGACGAATGCCTTCCGTCTATCACAACATGGTCAATTTGATTTGTCGTTGCTTGATCAGGGGAAATCCAGGTGACCTTGTGTATATCGAGGTGCTTGAATCTGGTGCTGCTAACTACCATGTTTTTTGCTGCCGCAAAATAAATCAACCTCATGCCGTTGTCGGATGTTTCTTCATGGAGGTGACTTTTTCGCTGGTGGGACCAAAAATATTTCCTTTCGATTTGTGCATTAAAATCTCCTAGCAGAATTTTAATGTCATGGTCAGGGCAGCGGTCATGTGCAACTTCTATGCGCTCGTAAAAATGTCTTTGGTCTGTTCATCTTTGTCTTTCGTCGGAGCATGGGCGCAAATAAGACTGATGTAGAAGAACTTCGCTTTTATACGGATTATAGCAATGTGCTTATCTACGCCTTGTATAGTATCCTAAAAAGTATTCTTAAAAAATCCACGCCTTGTAAGGGAACCTAAAAGAATATTTTTAAAAAATCCACGCCTTGTAAGGGAACCTAAAAGAATATTTTTAAAAAATCCACGCCTTGTAAGGGAACCTAAAAAATATTTTTAAAAAATCCACGCCTTGTAAGGGAACCTAAAAAAATATTTTTAAAAAATCCACGCCTTGTAAGGGGACCTAAAAAAATATTTTTAAAAAATCCATGCCTTGTATAAAACCCACGCCTATTTAAAAATTCAAACCTAGTTCAGTTCAGTTTTTTACCTAAAATACTTACCTCTCTTATTGCTAAGATTTAATAATAACAACAACTATTCTCTTGCAAATATTTTCCAATTTATTTCATTAATTTAAACAGCTGTTCTTTTTTTGGTAGAAATGTTAAAATGACAGCAGTTCCATGGGAGCAAAGTCGCATTAAAATTTCCAATACTCTGATATTAGATTACACACAAAAGACAGAAAACACTCCTTAAAGCCAAAGGCATTCCAAAGGATGCCCAGAGATGGCTAAGGGGGACCTAAAGCATCCTTACAGTCTACTAAGGGAATTATATTCGTCCCCTTCGAAAAACGAATTTCACATTTCCATCTCCCGTGTGCTCATAAAATAACAGAGTTGTATTTTTCGGCTTTTTCAGAGTTGTATTTTGTCTCAATTTTCCCTGCTGTGGCTGATTATGATTTGTTGTTGTTGTGGTTGTTTGGTAGATTTTTTTCTCTGATGGTGATGGTGGTCTTCATTTTAATACTCTTTGTTCGAGATTTAGAGGCAGTATTTGCGCTATACATTAAACATAAAATTAGTATAGAACAGCTGATATCAGCTGTTCACCTTCGCCGCCGACATGGCTGGTGATTTTCATGTGGCCAAGATTTTTGTTGGTTTCTCTTTTTTACTTCTTGAATATATATTTTTTGTATGAAATATTGGACTGCAAGATATCATTAAGTTAATCAAACAAGCTGGTTTCGTTTTTATTTGTTTCGTTTTGTCATTATCAGTATCTTCGGGGTTTCTTCATCTTCTTCTTATTCCTTTTCATAATAAATATGGTATTAACAGATTTAATAATCGTCCAGATCAACATCTTCCAGGGGTTCATCGGCTTGTAATGATTGAAAATCAACTTTATATCGTAATATTCCTAAAAGAGAGAAAAAGGGAGGGTAGAGAGAGAGTCATCAGAATTTCAGATCATGAAAAACCATTGCAAAATTCTCACCTCCAATACCGCCAAAACCACGCACAAATTGACTACCCTCCTGGGATTTGTCCGTGATTATTTCCAATGTGGCCCCGAACATTTTGTAATTGTTCGCCAGCCATTCCAACAGGGGCTGGGATTCTATCAGTTCCATTTCAACGCCAGTCTGAAAGGGAAAGAGAAGAAGAGGATTAATTAAAGATTTTGCTTTAAAAAATCTGGGAGCAACAAAAAAATATTTAAATCCAAGCCTCAGTTGGAGCTACAAATAAGAAATTTGTAAGTCCACACCTCAGTTGGAGCTAAAAAAATCTAATTCTTCTTGATGAATCTTGTAAGGAGTGGTGTTGGTATATGTTAAAACCTTTTCCTCTTGCAGACTTATCGAATGCATGTTTTTTATACCCTACACAACTATGTTGTCAGGGTATTATAGCTTTGTGCAGCCCCAAGAATTTGTAACGCCGCGAAATATTGGTCCTAGACCCACCTTCAAGTATACCGATCGTCATATCTCGACTAGCTGAGTCGATCTAGACATGTGTGTCCGTCCGTTATAATTTGTAAACACGATACAGGCCACAGTTATGGACCAATCTTCGCGAAATTTTGCATGTAGGATGGGTTCGGCCCAATGAATGCCCCTATTGTTTTTGGTAAAGATCGGTTAATATTTAGGGGATGAAATGGACCAAATACTTAATTTTTGTCGGTTTTTCTGGTCGCTCTAGAGGCAATTATTTTATACAGAACATCACAGACGCCGCAGTTATGGTCCGAACATCGTGAAATGTTACATGGACAAGGGGATCGGGATAAAGATAAGCATGCCTGTTTTGATAAAGATCGGTCAATATTTAGCGGGTCAAATGGACCCTGACTTTTGTGTAAAAAATTACAAAATTTTTATTCTGGGGCGTATATACTTGCTCCTGAAGGACATATAACCGATATAGTATATCCAAGAGGAGTTGATAGTATATCCAAGAGGGATTGTTAACCTTCATATTGATACCAATTATATGTCTGTATGTACTCCGATGCGGGTTTTATACGTAATTAAGTAAAGGTGTGCATATTATTACTATTACTCCATTAGAGGACGGAAATGTCGCGCTGATCGCTTTGAAATTGTACATTAAGGTCCGATTATGGTCAAGGACGACGCTTATAGTTTTCGGTGAAGTTGAGATTTCATTCAGGGGGTGCAATGAACGGAAAACTTTAATTTTGTCAGATTTTCTAGTCGCTCTAGAGGCAATTATTATATGCAGAACATCACATATTTTACACGGTGAAGGGGATCTGACCAAATACTTAGAGCGGCTGTTTAGATGATGATCGGTCAATATTCCTAAGGGTCAAATCAACCAAAACCTAAATTCACCATTTTTTTTTTATGGCGTAAATAATCACTTCAAGAAAAAAAATATTTGGAAAATAAAAGTGGAGTTGTTGATCGGCAAAAAGGGTGCAATATAGAACCGCAGAAAGTTTGCTTTTCGTGGTAGTTGTGTAGGGTATCATATGGTCGGCCCCGTCCGAATATACTACTCCGCTCACTGGTTTAATCTTACATAGGAGGTATGTAAACTATTCGAAACTTCAAAATGTCCATGTATGGTAACAACTTTGCTTTTTATCACGCAATTGGAACCAATTTCCATGGTTAACTAAGGGTATAGTGAGTTCAAAAATAATTTCATATTTTGTCACTGCCCCTTTGACACTCATAAGCGTATAAAGTTGAATCAAATTATCACCTGCTGGTGGCAAAGCAATTGATGAGGAGACAATAATACATTGATGACTTCGGCCTGTGTTCTCTGTAGGTTTATTGCGGATAAAACCAGATGCGTTGATAGAAGTCCAAACAGTTGAGAATTATTGGGAGGATACTTCAGCTACATCGTTTTTGTGTTTGTCAACCATTTCTAAAATCTCCCGTATTTTTTGGTGACTAATAATCTCATCCTGTTTTATAACATTAACCGTTGAATCAATTATTTAAATCTGATTTTTCAATAGACTGATTATGTGGTCTTGTTCGCTTTTTGCCTGGTTGATGGTCTTTGACATTTCTTCTGCATAGTCTGCATCAAGAACGCAAAAAAGTGAGTGCGCAATATTGCCAATTATGTTGAATGGGGATCTTTTTACACGTTTTTTGGTGAGTAATTCTTTGTCTTGGAGTAATTCAGTTTTTATCTGCTTCAGGTTTTTTTTTTACCAAAATATAGCACATCTCATGCTGATGCATTACAGTGCACATTTGCTGCAACGTTTGTAAGCCGGATGCCAATGACTCTATTTCCGAAACAAATGGTGTTAAGTCATAATATACTAACATCTTCCATTCCGCCGTAATCAGTTTCACTGTTCCTAATCCTTCAAAATATAATACCGGATCATTATGAAATTGTGTAACTTGCAAGTTGCTGCACAGGAAATTATCATGATTTCCAGGAAAAAGTGGTGCCAGTCGGTGGATTGTTCGGTTGAGGTTTTTATTTCAGCAACTCTTACAGCTCCGTCATCACCGGGAAATACATTAAGAACGCTCCCTAATGGCCACTACATTGGAGGTAGGTTGTCTTCTTTCATAATGATCATATATCCTTTTCTAAGATTTATCATCTTTTGTCTCCATTTTTACGTTGCTGGAGTTCTTGTAGGTATTCTCCCGACTACATATTCCAGAATTGGTGCTTAATATGCGAAATTAACTTCCAGTGTGATCTCCTGGATGTCTTCGAAGTATCTGCTGTGCTATCTACCTATGAGGTTAGAGCTTCTCCGATATGAAAATGCCCCGGCGTTAATGCTTCTAGGCAATCTCGATCGTTTAATATAAAATAGCTTCGATTTCTACTATGATTGTCTCTAATTATTCATGAGTAAATGTTTCCGTTGACACACTACGGACCAAGAGACGTTTTGAGGACTTCACTGCAGCTTCCTATAAGCCTCCGAAATACAGAGCTCATGGTGGAATAAAATGGACAGTAATTTCGAAAAATTCGTCTCTGCTAAAAAGAAAGCTCCGCTCGAAAGAAGAAAGGAAGAGTTCTACAAGGGCAAACTTGATGAGCTAAGGCTGTTATGGCACAGTTTTGAGAAAACAGGATCCGCAATGATCTATCTTTGCCAGAGTATGACACGTATATATATAGAACGATTGGTGAGAAGTTTAGCTCAACAATGGAATATATAGATGCGGAAATAAAGAAACTGATGTCTGTCCAAAGGAAGCTAGTTCCCACCTTGAGAGAGAAATCGACTGAAGTTGTCTCAGGAGGCAAAATACCTTCCCGTGTTGATGGACCTGCCAGTATGATAAATGCTCGAATGAGTGCCCTTAGTCTCCATTTGCAAGGCTTGGGCACAATCGAAGCGAAACAGTCGAGGCAATTCTATAGCATCAGAGAAGATACTATAAAAAAGCTATGGAATCAAATAATAGAGCTCTACGACGAAATATTGCAGCAAATTGAAGATCCATCGAAAATTATAATGAAACAAGAAAGCTACGATATGTTGGAAGATTCGGTTTAAGACAAATTAATAAAACTAGCAGTCTTGAAAGGCAAATGCATCGAAATCGACCATTGCACCTCAACTGGGGAGTGATATTACAGCACACAGTTCACTTCCACTACCGAAGGTAAAAATTCCTCAATATAATGGGGATTGTTTGAAGTGGCGTCAGTTCTATGAAATTTTCTTGGAGATGGTAGACAAACAGTCTATTCCAAGTGTTCAAAAATCATTAACACCACGCCTTGTACGGCCCTCCAAAAAACATTCTTTAAAAAATCCATTCCTTAAACGGCCATCCAATTTCAAAAATCCACGCCATATATGGACTTCGAAAAAATATTCTTTAAAAAATCCATTCCTTAAACGGCCATCCAATTTCAAAAATCCACGCCATATATGGACCTCGAAAAAATATTCTTTAAAAAATCCACGCCAATATGGCCCTCGAAAAAATATTCTTTAAAAAATCCACGCCATATATGGCCCTCCGAAAAATATTCTTTAAAAATTCCACGCCTTATATGGCCCTTGAAAAATATTCTTTAAAAAAATCATAATAATAATTTTTCACACTTACCTCTTTGTCTGTAAAATGCGATTTATCTTTTTCCTGTTCCGGCGTCAAATGCAATACCGTGGTTGCCGTTGAATTTGCATGATTCTTAAGGACATATCTTTGAATATCTAAATTTTCCCAACAAATCAGGGTCTCCACCGAGCCCAATTCTAATGCACGCAATGTATCCTCAACACCAAAACAATATTTGCCCGTATCCTGAAATTGAAAAAATACCAAACAATTCCAAAATTTCTGCCAAGGGTTCCAAATTCCCACCTGAGATATTTCATCAAAGTAACGACCAATTAATTTTTTCTCTTGAATAAATTTAACATTTTGCAACGATTCCGCAGCCAGTTCAATTGCCTGATTGAAACCATTCTCACCGCCATACGACACATCGACCAGTTTGATTATTTTCGATTGTAATCTCTGCAACGAAAAACAAAAAATTCAAATAATTTTCAAAATTTTTAAGAAACTAACTTCCTCCCAGCTTCTGCACTTACCGGATCAAACATATCCGATTGACTCAGTTCAGTTTTAAAATCAGCACTACCGGCCAATATCAGCCCCGCAATATTCGGCTTATCATTCGTTATGAACAACTGGGTGGCAACTTCAGCAACTTTGCGCACATAATTGTGACGTTTCTCCATGCGCAGACGGGCAAATCGCAATGCCGATTGACCACCACGCCCGTGCTTTTTCGGTAAATCCACTGTAAATTTGTGTAGAACTTCTCGCGTGTTACCCTGCAGGGTACCGAACAACGCCCCATTACCGTCCATAACAATAAAACCGAATTTATTATCGTCCGCCAGCAGGGCGGTTAGCGCT